TTCTTCTTTAAAAAAAGAAAGTATTTCAGCAAAAGTAGAATATGTTTCAAATTGGTACTGTCAAAACCGCTTTCCGTACTCTTCAAAACTGCTTTCTTGTCTTAGAAAAAGGCTTTCAGTTTCTCATAAAGCGTTCTTGATTGTTGCTATTCTGAATGATGAATAATGGGCTCCACTTTTCTAGGAGTGTTCTTAGCCATTACTTTAAAGAGAATTGCAAAAATCGAATTTCCAATTTTCTGAAACCCTTTTTTCCCTTATGCTCATCTGTAATCTATTCTGAGTCTATTCCTCCTCTCTCATAGAGATACTTGTACTATCCAGAAATTCGCAATTGAAGTAAATCAAAGAGATTCGCATAACGTGGGTGTCTACAACTTCAAATTATCATGGAAGTCAAGCGATATTGATATCTTACATATTAACTGCTTATAACCACCAAGGAAATTAGGGAATGTTGATATGTAAAATATCAATATCTCTTGAGTTTTTACGTTTTCCTTGATTTGTTTGAACCGCCAAATTTTATCGTTTTGTGGAACTCACATGTGTTTCTAGCATCGTATTTATAGGCATGAAATGTATGTGTGTGGAAATATTGTGTGTTATAGTTTTATAACATATCTGAAGAAGGAATCTTCCACTCCGAAACGTCACATTAATAAAAAAATATAAACGAAAACAAGGAAGAGAAGAAAAATTTTCTATTAACTTACTACGCCCTTCCTTACGAAAACAACTGTCTTACAAAGGTGTGTAGTTTGCTGTTCAAATGAGTTTTTCTTGTTGGCGAAAAATTTGAACGATGAATTTCCTACTCAATCGCCCAACTGCGGCAGTCAAAACAATCAAAAAATGTTGACAAATTTTTAGTAAAGTTTTCGCTGAAATTTCAGGTATGCTACAAAATTCTCCATAAAATTCTGCATCTTCGAGTGCATACTTAAGAATTTCAGAAGAAATATTTGGGATAATATCTTTTGAAGTAAAACATGTGGAAACACCGAAAAAATACTATTTTCTGACAGACCTATGCCATACTTCTTTTATCGGTCGAAAAACTCAAAATGTTTTCACTGTTCAATGTAACAGTTATACCATTTTGTTTAGAATTAAATTCTACGTTCACGTGTATAAAAATAAAACCTTTCATAGAGCAAACCTGGCTTTTGAAACGATGATTTTCCAAAGGGCACCTAAACATATCGACAAGTGTCAGTTTCAAGCCTTTTTCTCCTAAGCGACAGCATCAGGAGCCTGGAAAACGTCGTGGAAGTGTAGAGCACAACATTCTCTATGCATTGATGCTAAATACATTACTTTTAGCATCGAGCTTGGTGAGTAAAGGCCGACTCAAATCGATAGGTGTCTGCAGAAAAATGGAAATCGCAGTAGGACGATTGAGTACGCGTTCATCTTTTAAATGTTTTGTGAGCAACAAAAACTTATTTGGAAAACAAAATAAACAGTTTTTTAGAGCAATGAACTCTCTATCGAATGAAGTCCAAACCGGATTTTTAAACGATTTTTAAGTACCTCAAAGACAGAAAACAAAAGTGCGCCGTTTAATCTGACTCACCCACCACATCATATCTTAACGATTGCTGAAGTCTGTAATGAGAGAGTTGAAGAGGATGATAGTCTTTAACTCTGGTTATTAGATTCAAGTGTGAAGGAGTGCGGGGAAGCCGCAAAACTGTCTATTTAAACCTCCAATTAGTCTCGCTTCCTTCAAAAATATACGCGAGCTCCACACAATGAATTATGATCAGACTCACTTATATAGTTTATTATCAATTAAGAACGGCCTCTTTTCGCTCAAAAGTAGAGTTATGATACAAAGACAAGGACAAGAATATATAAATATCATTGTTATCATTTAAAGTGGGTAAAAACAATCTTAGAAGAAGGCACTTTGATAAAAAGAATCGCTGATAGCTGAGAGCTGTTCCATCAATTTGATTGTCACCGTCTATCATTTTGGACATCTAATGCGGTCGCTTCATAATCAAAAGCCAGGATTTTTTGATCTGTTCAATAGTCGCTTTTTAAGATCTTTCCTCTTCCGATTGTTTACAATAGCATTTTTGCTATTTAATACTATTTTTCATGTAGGATATCCGTTTCAGATTAATAGAATTTCATTCGATGAACTTACCCATACTAATGCTTATTTCACTGGTTTTGTCAACGTCAATTAATACCTTTGGATTCTTCAATGCAAGTAATTTCTGATGCCATTCAATGCTCTTATTATAATCACCCTTCTGTGACGCCAGCTCACCAAGCTCTTCATACAAATTACCAAGTAAATGATCATTTGGTGGAAGTTCTTTCAATAAACGAATAAAATATTGCTCAGCTAAATCAAGCTTTCCCATTTTCCATAATACTTTTCCTAATGTTCGAAGATTTGTTTCTCCACTTCCAGTCTGCTGCTTCATATACATGAGAACTTCTCTTAAATCATGTTCGTTCTCACTACATAAAATCATTCGGATGATCCATACATTATCATCCCTACTGTGAATGATGCTTTTCAAACGAAAAATAGAACCAAGCGTAAAGAGTACTTCGGATTCATGAGCAAATTCACTATGTGCGCTGATATCAGCACATGATTTTGCAGTAACTATCTTCGGATCGGCATCAATGTTAAATAGTACTCGTTCTAAACCAGTTTTAGCGACAGAATCATTCAGAAATGAAAGAGCTTGGCGATATTCAGTACTCGTAGAAAAAAATGAATTCACTGAAATAAACTGACCCTGGCGTTGTTTTAAAGTTTCCAATTCATCACTCGACATCAACTGGCTGCGAAAAACTCTTACAAAATCTTTAGCTTGATACTTTTGCAACAGATGATGAATATCAGAGATAAATGCACGAAATAAAAATATCATATGGATATTTTCGGTGCGTAGAACCGCATTAAGAGTCTTGTAAAAGAACGATTGTCTTGTGTACCACCACAAAGCTTTGTCAGGTGAATAATTATTTTCAAATTCTTGAATAATGCTCAAGTCGACACTATTACCTTCATATTGTTGTTTGCAACGATTAATAAGTTCTTTTTTATCTTTTGTGGTGGGTTTAAGCCGCAGCAGACAATCGATAAGTACTTGAGAAAAAACAAATCCACCATTTACATCAGCTGTTGATTTACCTGCATCAGTACTTGTAGTAAAAAAATTAATTGACAATGGTTCTTCTACGATTTTCTGAATTTTATGATCAGCTTCAATTTGAGAAATGAGTTGATCAAGTTCGACAACAACAGCTTTTACCTATCAACAAAAAAAAATAGAATCAAATCGTATTGGTTCAGGAATTATACTTTTGCAAATTTGTCAGCCCATTTTTTGTTACTTTCCTTATCCATGCAGTACACATAGATCGATATAACTTGTCGAAGTTTGTAAATAGAAGGAACTATTTCTCGCCCCAATCGACCACTGACAATCATAACGAGTCGTTCATTTTGTGAGCATTTTTCAATGTATTTTTGACATTGTGCTACATCTTGAAACTTTTTGAGCTGATTAATAATAGAACGTAATTTTTGCTCTGTGGCTCGAGCATCTTTGACGTTCGCATTCGCATCGAGCCAGATGAGGCAGAAAATTTCAAGATTTTGATTGTCTAAGTTTGCGTGAAACTCGTCTGTTAGTGGCTTAGCACTGGTCATGCTAATCAAGAAGACTGAATAGGATAGAAGTTTAGGATGTTGTCATTTTCGATTTAGTTATCGAGCGTATGAGTGTTTTTTGGCAATCTAAAACGAATAATAAACTATCACTTCTATTATTTTATTTATTAGTATTTATAATGCCATGTAAGCGGATAAAATAATTAGATGCTCCAGTTCGCTGAAATTAATGATTTACACCTGGTACTTCACTTTTCTAGGTAAGATCATCGAACCAAACGTGTAAACATTTGGCGTGGATTGACGTTATATGTATTTTTTTCGCTTATTCATCTAACAAGATTATAACCAGGCTTATAATCAGACAATACCATCTCACACTAATT